GTAACTATGAATACCTTATAAGTGATTGGATATACCTTTGAAAAATCAAACTCACTGTGTGCGCAGCTTATTTAGTTTTTATTAGTTTTTATAGGGTCGACTTTTTTTACTTCTCTGTTTGAAATTATAATTAAAGAGCAGTATACCGTAGCATTTAAATGAGATATATACATATACAGCACATGCTATTAGATATGATATAATAGCGAAAATAAAAACGAAAGAAAATTGAGAATTTGATACAACTCTGTTTATAAAATATACACTTGAGAATTAATGATGTTCCAAGACCTCAATAAGAAATTCACGGAATTACCAATTAATCACGATTCATATATAGCAATGAAACATTTTTTGAGATTGTATGATAAACTTATATGATTAATTTCTATAATTTTCTATAATAATTATGAACATAAATTATTCATGCACTTATGATATAATAGATCCACCTAAAAAAAAGACATTAAAAATGTAAAAAAAGGCATATAACATCAGTTGCAAAATATACTTGGCGTGATGTTATATAAAGTATGTACATACATATGTTATGATGATGAGTTGACAGTTCGTTTACAACTTGAGACGCCATATTGATCGAGCTAAAAGTAGGTAAGGAAATCTGTAATTCTGTAATTATTTCTTGTTTTCCGTATAAAATTAAAGTTTCCTGAGATCATTGATACATGTATTGCAATCGTGGAGAAGCATTCAATTCTGTCAAATTAATGCGACGAAAGACTAGAACTGTGAAAATGGTAATTTTGTCGGTAATACAGACGGCTATAGGATCCCCTTATAAGGATGATGTATAAAATAAGAAATATCTACTACGACTTATCATCAGTAGCTTCGTATTTTCTGATACCGACGACCAGTAACGGTTATCACTTGATGATCTCGAACGAAACCATGTCATATCGTTTCCTGTGCTGAAGATCATTACTAATTAATGTTTCCACTTTTATATTTACGATGCAGTTAATAATTATCTTTATTACATTTATACTGAAAATTAATATATATGTATATATCAACTGTTTCTAGTTTCCTGAGCAAAGTATTAATTAACGATCTAGTTTATCGACCAACAACCTTGCTTTGGATTGACTGTAATTAACAGGTGAGGATATCCTCAACCTGAGTATTGAATATTAATTGTATAATTAATAATCAATAAATATTTGCACTATGCATTGCAAAATTTTCGTTAATTGTTTACAGTTAGGTTTTCCGTTTAATATTTGTACTGTTTTTATACGATTCGCATCTATGCATTTTCGATTTAATAATAAAAAAATTTAGTTATTTTATCTGTGTTAATTTATGCAAAAGTTAATACTCGAGCTTCCAATCTGACTATTAATAAAAAGTTTTATATAATAAGATAAAGACAATAAAATCTTCTAATATACAGTACTCTTTATGACTTCAAATAAAAAAATTTACTAAGATTAAAGGGTAACAGAAAATACAAAATAACAAAATGTTTTTTTAATTAGTTTAATGGAAGATGCATTATATAAGTCAGGAAATTATGGACAAATATATCGTATCATGTGTCAATATATCATATTAGGTAACGTTGTGGTTGTGGAAGGTAAAGAATAATAGACGAAGATTGATAGAATTCTTTTAATAATGTATTGTGTATGCATAATTTATACAAAACATTATCGCACAACATATAATTAATATTATACAATTCGTATTTTCAATGTTCGCCATTGACAGCGCAGATGTATTTTTGTTCGTTCGACTTGTTACACACAGGCGCACGTAATTACAATACGTACATCGAGATCTCACTTATGTAATGTAAAGGCTTTGCTCACTTAATTCTCAACATTACTGTAAACCATTCCTCAGAAAAAAGAACTAAGAATATGAGCCGTTTACTTTCAAAATAGTGTAAATCTAATTTTACGAATATATTAATTAAATTAATATAATGTTACTGTATAGTGTATCGATATCCGTAAGGATGTTTAAATTATTCACTCTACGTTGAAAGCAGAAACGACTCATATATATACTCGATTCATAAACAAAATCACCCCTTAAGAATCATAGTGTCCTTTATTGACGGTCCATTGCATAGCCTTGCAAGATTTTTACACAATATAATATCCTCCAGCATCCCAAAAGCAAATAGCCACATAAAATATAGTTTCCAACTGGTCAGAGATTTGAATGGCCAGCACCTTAAAGACAACTATATTCTCATTTCTCTCGACGTCGTGTCACTTTTTACAAACGTCCCTATTGACCTAACCGTTGACAGCATGGCTGAACAGATGGGAGCATATCTCGAAAAAACGCGATATCTCCAAAGAAGAATTTATTCTCGCATTACGGCTTGCCTTAAATAAACATTTTTTTAAATTCAATAATAACCTATACAAACGAAATTTCGGGACTCCTATGGGCTCTCACCTGTCCCTGACACTGCCGATTTAACGTTACTCTGGGAAAAATTTGGGCCCCACGATTATAGTAATCAAATTATTTGGATATCGTAACCCTATCCTATCTATTTCTACGTGTTCGCAATCGTACCTAAAACCAGTACCGTGCTTCTTGCTACCGCTCGCGTCCGCGTTGCCGATCGCCACTCCGCCACGGTTTCTGACACGTGAGTGTGCGCGACACATGCCCCGCAACCAAATCGCCGATCACTCGCAAGAGGATCTATCCTAACGCCGCGCCGAGTTCTGTGCAACAGGTTCGCATGGCTCTCCCTTTCGAAGTCCATGACTGAAGATTGACGCAAGGGTGCAAACTTATGCAGCGGAACGGCGTACGCAGAAAATCGCGGAACGAGAGCCTTGACCAATCACAAGTGTTCCGTGATTTTCAGCGACTTTCCGTGGTTTTTTAGCGGACAGTTTTAACCTCTTCTTCGCGGAACTGCGCAATTCCGTCATCCGTGGTATACATACATGTGCATTGTGCATATGTGTCAAGAATCAACATGAACAAGAAAATATCTCAAGTAGTAAGAAATATTATCATTATTATAAATTGTAATTATAATCAGTTAAGAGGATTAATTGCAGTTTTTAATTTTAATCCTTTTTGGAAATTAAATTACTTTTTATAAGATTTTAATTAGGTTATGTTACTTTTTTAATATTTAATGTTTACATAATTTATATATTTATATATTAATATTTATATCATCCATTTTTTATTGTCTTATTGAAGGTCTTTCCCTTTTCTTTATATTATTAATTTCAGAACAGAAAATGCGGGTATTGCAAGTGGATCATGCCGAGCAATGCGGACCCATTGAAGCATACCTGCTTCAATAGTGATTATTTTCAACACAACAACGTTCTAATCATCGATGAAAACAATATTGTAACAATAGGTCAGTTTAGAGTTATAATTAGTTATACGTATAATCAATACATTTTAATCGATCAGAATCGTTTTCTATGAGGGATGTATATTTTGCAGGCAATAAAACCAACAATGAAATGAAAGATCAGACATACATTTTGGAGAGTAAACAGACGCAGGGTACGGAAGCGACAGTTGACGAAATACTAATAGCTTACGCGTGGCCCAGAAGCCTGCATTATATGATCATAGGCTACCACTTAGTGAACGAACAATGCTAAAAAAGAATGCTCTTTGGAATGAAGTATGCAATGTTATGGGAGGTACGAAATTGTGTAATCATTAAGTATTTATTACGGCTTTATGCGTATTGTATTTATATATGTATGTATGTATGTATATATATACATTGAATAATATTATAATCTTTTCTAATATCTGCAATACCATACAGGAATCATGAATGTTTATGGTGTCAAAAAACGATGGAAGTATTTGAAGGATTGTTATATGAAAGACAGGAAGAAAAGAAATGAATATGTTGCAAGTCGGTCTGCATCTACCTCAAAACGTAAAAGCACATTCAGATTTAGTGAAGCAATGAGCTTCCTGAGTGACAGCATGGAACCAAGGCCGTAAGTACCAATCATTCTACTATTTCCTGCCACTTTAGTATCATGCCCACTCCAAAAGCCCACAAAACATTTCCATTTTGTCCCATTCACCTATCACCGTGCTAATTACTTTTTATTAAGCGACTAAACAAAATCAAAACATTTTGTGCGTCTCTGGAGTGGTCATGACTTTAAATTTTTGTAAACATGTTCTACGCATTAAAAAAATTGTCTGCATGTGTTGCATCGTATATGTACAAATTATAACGCATATTGTATAATATTATTTATTAATTTTGTTAATTAGGACATCAAGTACTTTATCCACAAATGAAGGCGGACCACCTACTCCTCCTAGTCCCACAAAGTCTGTTTCATCAGCGCCATTGCATGTCAGCACGGTCAGCACCCACAATGAACGCACGTTAGTATCACCTGCTTCCACGTGCATCAACAAGACGAATGAAAATTCCTCAAAACGTATGTGTAATTATGTAAATTCATATTAAATTTTTATCACAATACAAAATCATCAGAGGCAAATCATACACCTTTTATTTTTAAAAACTTAGCTTTTTGCTTTGAATTAAAACCTTTGCTTTCCGTTTCTTTTCAATGTTACGTCCTGCGGACTCCACGATATCCCTTTTTCGCGGGAATTCTTATGCACCTAAGATAGCCCTAAGATTAGGATAAACAAGCCGAGTACGGTTATCGATCGGTTATCGATTGCCTCGCATCTAACCTCGCAAAAAAGGAATGCGATGCCTTCCCGACAATTAATATAATACCATATGTGTTCAATAGTTATATAAGTTCTCATCAGCTATATTGTGATCTCAGATTTTAATAGTGAGTGGGTGCGGGAAAATAAGCCCCCCACATCACATATATGTATATCATCCAAATACCGCCGCATGTGTTCAATAGTTAAGTTCTCGAATCAGCTATATTGATCTCAGATTTTAATAGTGAGTGGGTGCGGGCAAAGTCCCCCACATCACATATATGTATATCATCCACATCTATAACTTAAAAATCTCGCATTCCTTTTTTTTATGACCAAACTACCTATTTGCTTGGGGAACTAAAAACCCCTCAGATGACAAATTACTAACAGACGAAGAATATGGTGACCAGATTCTCGTCAACCTCGTCTGACCCATAACTATAAACCCGGCAACACGACGCGCAGAAAGGAGCCTTAACTCCAGACGGGGGATGATGGAGATCTTTGTTATATCGCGCGACTCACTCAAAACTGGCCGTGCGATGTTCCGACAAACAGAAACGAAACCTAATACGTGCTTTTAGAAATCTTAAGAGCACGTGGCGGAAGTTTCTGTTTGCAATAAAACTGCACTTAAAATTTAGAAGTATGGATCGTCTGTCAACATAAAAACAGGGTCGCAAGATAAGTAAGGAACCCCAATAAAAGAGAAATCGGCGATAGCCAAAAAACAAATGCGTCACTGGAAAGAACCAATGGGTTACACCCCCAAAAAGACAGTGAGGCCTTAAGAGGGGGGCTTACCAATGGAAAACCGGAAAAATCGATAACCGTCTCTAGCTTTCCAGGATAGGCAAAAACTTAAGAATCTACCTCTTGGGTGAGGAACATCTCAACCAATAAGAAATCCGTTAAACAAAAATTAGAAACATCCCGCCAACCCGAAATCCTTTAAACGAAAACCAGACACACCCCACATGAAATCCACCCCTTCCATTCTTTACATTTTCTTATATAAACCCCGAGATTGCGGCATCATCAAAGATCTAACGCGAAGGATGAATCGGGAGAGCGAGTTCCTCCACCTCCCACCTGACCAGATCGTGCCCGAAACGGAGGTCGCCGTTCGTGAAGGAAGACGGTGGCAGAGGGGCTTTGTGCTCCAAGTTGAAAGAGGGGACCGAGTGACGGTTGCCCTCAGAGACTGGGGCCGCGCCGTCCAGCGGCCTATGATCGAGGTTTACATCCTCGAGGATCGTTTCCGTCAGCTTGAATGGCAGGCCATCCCCTGTGGTCTAGGCCACATCCGACCACTCGAAGGAAGGATGCGATGGACCCGTAGGTCCATTGCCCTAACAAAACGCCTAGTTGAGAAAAGAGAGGGATGGATAGAGATCCGGCGGCCGGTCAAGGACGAGGCCGCCATCATCAATTTCCGAGCGAGGCCCGAGAGCGAAAATGAGACGCGAGATCTGGCGGAATTGCTCGTGCAAATGGGATGTACCCAGCACAGCGAATTCGAAGAGGTGGTGGCCATCCCTGGGATTCTCTCCTTCATTCACTTGTAAGAACAGAGAATCTTAGCGAGTAAAATACAGCGAGCCTTTTTGTAACCTTTCTTTTGCGTAATCATTTCTTTATTATTAACAGCTTTTAAAGCGCTTTTTACGCGCATGATTGACGAAAGTGTTTTTGAGTGTTTTTCAAAGTGAATTACATGTTTTCAAGCAACGTTTTAGTCTTAGAAATCATTTTTGGCACACTATGAATCAAAATCCATCAAAATAGCTATCTGTCAAAAAAGTGCGAAACTCACAGCGGTTTTGGGAGGTGCATTCTTAAAAGCGCTTTCAAAGCGCTTTGCACGCTGCTGTGCTACATGGGTAGCATTAGCATATCGCATTGGAATATCTGTCAGAATGTGCTGGATTGATACAATGAGTCGAAGACAAACTCGATGAGATTAAATGAAACTGTATCTTTATTACAACTGTGATCGCTAGTACACACGTGTTTTATCAAGAAGCGATAAGCGAAAAGTGTAGCGCGGTGAGTCCATAGAGATATAAGAATAGAGTGCGCGAGTCATATGCTCGCACGTAAGAGACTGCGATATAGGAATAGAAAGAGAACGCTGCATATGGGCCCCTGCTGTCTTTGTCTATGCACGCATGCGTCTTTGCGCTGCTCAGTGTCTATGGCTGCATTCCGATATTCACGTCAATACTGCAAATCTATATTTTATGTCACGTATACTATAGATTTTCAGTACTGAAAGTTGCTGACGGTGAATATCGGAATGCAGCCTATAACGCATGTAGAGATATAACCTATAATAACGCATTTATGTTCTAACCCCTTGAACCCCTTTGAAAATATGTCCTTAAATAATAATTCCCAAAATTACCAATTTATTACAGCAAAGTACATAGTATTACCATAAAATATTACTTTTTTTTTAATATGGAATTGAATATGGAATTGTATATAAATATACTCAATATATATAATAATAAAACAAAATTTATTACATGTTGTTCATACAATGTTAATCATAGAATAGAATAGAATTCTATTCAGTCTTTTATTATTTAACACAAAAATTAAATTTTTTAAACACAAAAATTAAATTTTTTTAACACAAAAATTAAATCTTTTAAATCAGTCTTATTATTTAACACAAAGAAATAAAATATAAAAAAATAAAAAAATAAAAATTTTACTACAAACAATATAATATCAAATGCACATTATTAAATATTTATAAAAGTATACAGTTTTGCTATTGTCCATTAAAAATTAATTAAATTTTGAGGTTAGAGATATTAATATGTACTTACGTGTGAAAACTACAATTGGAATTAGGAGATGCTTCTGTTTTACATATCAAGCATTTCTTTGTCATTTTAAAATGTTTTTGCTTAAATAAGAAGAAGGTTAGCTAAAAACGACATAGAGATAGAACGAGATAAAACCGAGAATACCAAGGTACAATCTTTCATGACCTGCACATCACTGCACATGCGCGCATAGACAAAGACAGCAGGGGCCCATATGCAGCGTTCTCTTTCTATTCCTCTATCGCCTTTTCAGCTCGCTTGCGCACTCTATTCTTATATCTCTATAGGTGAGTCTCAGTAACTAAAGTATCTATGAATATATAATATCACTAGAGCGGAAACATAGTAAAATAACAGAGTCGATAATCTACCAATAGAAATAAACCTTTACCCTAGTAACTTTGTGTGAAGCTATTATAACTGTAAACCTGAGATAAGTATAAATTTGAATGTATACGTTAACTTTGTTCAACAATATCAACTGCTTATTCCACAGTTAAAGAAACATGTGAAATAATTTCAAACATACTTAGTACTAAGTATCTTAATCTACCAACATTAAATGAGTGGAAAAATATAAGCACGGGATTTTAGCAACATTGGAATTTTCCAAACACAATTGGAGCTATAGATGGAAAGCACAACCAGATACAAACACCATCAAAATCTGGGAGCTCATATTTTGATTATAATAAAAAGACTTTTGTCGACAGCAAAAATACGGCAACCCGCCGGAAACGAAATCTGACAACCGTCGGCAGCAACAGTCCGGCAACCCGCCGGTAACAAAGTCCGACAACCCGTTGACAACAGAGTTCGACAACCAGCGGCAGCAACAATCCGGCAAC